TGGCTCGGCTCAGGAAGGACGGCTGCAGAGGAGACTGGTCGATGCGGCAGCCAAACCGCTCGCTCACCACTTTTAATGCCAGTCGCTCACAAAGTAGAGTTTTTGCTCGCAAGGGTCCACAGCTCAGAGGGAGCACTGCTCCAGAGCAAACTGATTTATGCAGCAGCCAAATCGCTCGCTCACAATTTTAAGGCCAGTAGTTCGCAAAGTAGAATGTTTGCTCACAAGTCTCCAGACCTTAGAGGCGGCATCGGTGAAGAGCCGAACTTTCCTCCTCGACAGGATCCGTTTCTCAGTGGAGAATCTCAGGTGATCCAAGGGTTGGGCTTTCTCTCGTCTTTAATCTTTAATAGCTCAGGCAGAAAATTGTTAATCTCTTTGTCAGTTGTTTTGTACTCTAAAAAATCCCCGAGATTTCAAATTGTATTTTACCCTTATTTTATTGTTATTTTTATCACCTTATGGTTTTAATTCTATAGTAATTGCTAGCTTTGGCCGTGAATAAAATTCATTCGTAACCTGTTGTTTCTTTAAGAGACTCGGTTTAATATGTTAAGAGACGTTTGTTGACGTGCTCGCTATTTGTGACTTTTTTTTTTATCCTGGAGCGAGCAATTTGACTACTGCATAAATTAGTCTGCTCTGGAGCCATCCTGCCTGAGCTAGGACAAAAATGTGTGAGCTGGAGGCTAAAAAACTGTGAGCTAGCTCACACTAACTCAGCTTAGAGGGAACACTGTTCGTAACCTGTTGTTTCTTTAAGAGACGCGGTTTAATATGTTAAGAGACGTTTGTTGACGTGCTCGCTATTTGTGACTTTTTTTTTTATCCTGCCCTGTTTGGTTTGGTGTAGTGGGTAAGAGCGGTGGACTCTAATCTGGAAAACCAGGTTTGATTCCTGACTCCTCCACATGCAGCCAGCTGGGTGACCTTGGGTCAGTCACAGTTCTCTCAGAGCTCTTCTCTCAAGAGCAGTTCTCAAAAGAGCTCTCTCAGCCCCACCTACCTCACAGGGTGTCTGTTGTGGGGAGAGGAAGGGAAGGAGATTGTAAGCTGCTCGGAGACTCCTAGTGAAGGGTGGGGTATAACTGAAAGCCAGGTTGATATCCTGGTTAAGATTGTGGGTTCTAATCTGAAGAGCCAGGTTTGATTCCTTCACACCTTTACATGCAGCCAGCTGGGTGACCTAGGGTCAGTTCCAGTTCTCTCACAGCTGTTCTCTCAAGGACAGTTCTCTCAAAGCTCTCTCACCCCCACCTACCTCACAGGGTGTCTGTTGTGGGGAGAGGAAGGGAAGGAGATTGTAAGCTGCTCGGAGACTCCTAGTGAAGGGTGGGGTATAAACATTGCCTCTTCTTCAGAAGGAAGTGTCTCTCCTTCCCAATGTTATCTTCCCCCAGCAGCCCTGTAAGGTAGATTATGCTGAGAGAGGGAGTCAGTTTCGTGGCAGGGTGTATAGTTCCACCCTGGATTCCTTGGTTCAGAGGCTCTCAGGGAAAGCTTCCAGTATCCACCTGGAGTAGTACCACCCAGACACATGTAGGTGAGAACCTGGCCACGGACTTGGACCAAAACGAAATGTGATGGGGGCAGCCATGTTTGCTTGTGTCATCTGCATAGTTTACCTATTAAGTAGGGACATCTTTGCACCTGATGAAGTCAGTTTTGGTTTGCAAAAGCTTATGCTGAAGTAAATGTTATTAGTCTCTGTGGTGCAGCTGGACTCCTGCTCTGTTTGCCGCTACAGACTAATGGATTGGATATTCATCTGAAAATATAACAAGAGTGTGTATGTGTATCACAAACCTGGGAGCCACTTTCACAGGCTTTGTGACCTTTGCAGCTTAACATAAATATACCGAAATGTGGGTTGCAAAGCCTGTAAAAGTGGGTATCTAGCTTGTGCAGTTTTAACCTGGTTTTCTTTCATTTGTCATTCTATTTTTGATTATATTTGTTTTTAATGTTTTGTACAATTGTTTTATGGCTTTGTGCCTCTGCTGTACATTGCCCAGAGCACGGTGCAAGTTGGGATGGGACAATAAATAAATAAAGATTTGTAAATACTGTTTTTCATGTGGGTGCCCATACCAAGGAAATTTTGACTTGTGGGTCACTGTTGGGGACTACTGACTTTTCTCCCCAGCGTGGGAGGGCACTTCTCAGTGGCTTGGATCTTTTTCTTTCTTAATCCCAGTCTCCCACTTTGCACATGAACAGGCAGGTATGCAGACTCCAAGGAACTCCTGGGTTTAGCCCAGGAGAGGCTAGCAGCAAAGTCTGTTTGGTGGGGTGCTGGATATGATTTCCTGGGCATCTGTCCCCTTATACAGTGTAATTGAAAATTATATATTTGAGAAATTAATTGCTGAGGCGGGAAAATTAAATGACTGGTGTTATTGGAAATATATTGTTACTGCAGGGCTTTATACTGGAACTGAAGATTGTACCCTGGTTTCTGAAATGTTCAGTTTGTTCCTATTTGTGTGAGGCATGCATTGGGAGGATCTAGCAGTTGGTGGACTGGAAAAGTTGGACTACAACAAAAATTGTAGCAAGCAAGAACCAGTTGCTTAAATGCATTTAGAGAAACAATCTGTTCACTGTTACACCTATTTTTACTGTGTAAGTCTTGTTGTATTGTCCTGTATGTTGGAGGATTTTGGTTTAAAGTTAATTTAGGTTTCAGCTTCTGTTCCTGAATTAGCCCCATAGAACTCACAACAGGCACAGGTTATATAAACACATGTATATCCAGGTGCCTAGTTTAGCTCTCAAGCTGCCTACCTGGAATCCTCGGCCAACCAGTAATCTCAAGAACATCAAATTCTTTTTAAACAGAATAACCAGGAATGCAGAGAATTGGTTGACTCAGCATTCATACAGTGTCATCCTAAGCAAGTCTACACAAAATCCTACTCAGGTCTGTTCAGTAGGGCTTATTTGCAATGCTTGTAATGAAGAGACTAAAAGAATGGTAAGGTTATGTTGTCTGTATGCTGTGGCAGGTCTACCCCTGTAACGAAACAAGAGGTGGTATTTATTCCAAATTACCATTGAGCTCAGGGATATGAAACTTACGTTGTACTTTGCCTGTCAACCAGATATCTGTCTCTGGATTTTCTTTTCTTATTGGTTGATTTTCCTTTTCTTTCTTGGACATTTCCCATGAATTCTTGTTTTTCTGTTTTAAAAAAACCAGAAGGTTGGCTTCAGTTTGATTATTTGTCAGAAAAAGGTACACTGATATTTTCAGGCAGAAGCATACTGATTATTGCCATTTTATGCTTGATTTAAATATTTTGGGGGCGAATTATTTTTTAAAAAACAAACTGCTTGTGATGCTCAGGCAGCAGTGCAAAAAAGTTCCATTAGAACTGAAAAATGCATGTTAAAGAAGTCATTTAATTTAAAAAGTGCAGTACTTAAAGATTCTGTCAAGAATATGCCTATGATATTCTGTAAGGTAAAGGTAAAGGTTCTTTTGCTCGAAAGCC